CGTTTCCACCCTGGAAGGCAACTCCAGGCAGCTCAACAGTCCCCATTATTAACTCCACCTCCCCAGAGGGATATTTAAACAGCAAGAAACATCCTAATGAATCTAGAGATGAATTTACTTCCCTTTCTGATGCACCCAAAACTTTCTTGTTTAAATTAGGGTATGTCTTGCCCATGGACATAGTAGTCTCCAAACCACTAGCACCTATTTGGGGGCAACTTCCTGTGTAATCAAGCCTTGTTAGCCTTTATCTTGCTCACAGTCCCTGTCCTCCATCTGCAAAGTCAGAGCACAAAACGCAGGGCTAAGTCCAGTCTTTGATTATCACAAAAGATGTGACAAAATCAACAAATGCTGATGAGCCAATCCTCTGATAATGGGAGCAGAAAGATAGAAAAGCTAGATCTGGGCCCAAAACCAAGTCAACCATTTGCATGACAATTTTAAAGACAGAGAAAAGTCTAGAAGATGATTTGCTTTGCAGAGTTATGAAGACATGAATTTTCATTTTGCCTTGGCCACTCATAATTATTTTTTTTAAACTAACAAAGAACAGGCAAGATATGGATCCATTATAAGAAGGAGAGCAAATATGGAATCAATCTTTGCTGCAAGAGCTCAGAAATTACTGTCTAATAATGAAACAATTTGAAGAGAGAAAAATCTGAAAACATTTAGAGGGACAATGAAGTCATAAGCAATAAGGAGAAAGATTTGTGAATATCAAACCCTGCCAAGTCCAAAGACCCCCCACCCCAACACCACTAGGATTTCAAAATCATTAGAGAGAATAAATGTTGTAGAAAGCCACCTCACATTTGGGAAGGCAATTGATAATGAGAATAGGAAAGAATGACAGCAATCTTTAAATCTAGAAGGGAATTTTGAGAGCATCTAGTCTAACTGTCCAATGTGTAATAGATGAAGAAGGGGCTAAGAGGGTCGTCCTTGTTCGGATTGGTTTCCAGCTGCCCCCACAGAGTCCTGCTCACTGCCCTGCACCCTGCTGTGGTTCCCACGCAGTGGGAACAAACCTGAACTGAAGTATTTGGATTATACATACAAGGACAAAATAATATTCGCGATGTCCAGGAGCTGTGAACCACCTCCTCCAAAGTTCATAATGTCAAAAAGAAAGAGGGATATTAAGTCTTCACACCTGATGGCATCAATGGAGACTGGGCCCTGATATGTTTAGTCAGCTGATCACAGCATAAAACCCAGAGCACTCATTCCTTCTCCCGTCCCATTAAGGCAAGAGGGGAGCTACCAGCAGGAATTTTCTAGGGAGATGACGCGTGCACTTTCACCGAGGACATTTCTTATCCTTCAAAAATTATTTAGGTGAAATAGAACCCCAGCACTCTACAGTCCTAAGATTCTAAGAAAGACATTTTATTGGCACTTACCGTGTATAGGTTTTTAACCGTATATTATGGAATTACTGAGTATATACCAAAGGCAGACTAGCATAATAAACCTCTGTGTACCCATCACTCAGGCTCAACGATATCAATTCAGAGTCAATGTTATTTCGTCACTACTTCTACTTACTTCCTCCCTTCCTTGTTATTCCGAAGCCGATCCCAGATGATACCACGTGACTTCATCTATAACTATTTTAGCAAATATTTCTAAAAGATGGGTACTTTAAAAAATGATCATAATGCAATTACCAAACACCTAAGAAAATAAACAGTAGTTAAATAATATCATGAAATGCCCAGACAGTATTCAGATTTCCATGAATTCATGAAATATGATCTCCTTTTGACAGTTTGTTTAAACTGGCGGCAAAATATGGTCCTTTTGCTCTCAAGTCTCTTTTAATGTACAGTTACACCCCTTCCCCTGCCTTTTTCTACTAAAGCATTGTAGTTACTTTAAACCTCCACACCTGGATGTTGAAAATGGAATAAAAATTCAAGGGATCTGTGTGTTTTTAAAATATTATAAATACTATATTTACAAGTACTTTTATTCACTTTTGTTATCCAACATTTTTTTAGATTTAACCACATTGATACAGTATGTGTAGCTTTTTTCTTTTGACAGATGTATAATATTCTGTTGTTTGTATCACAACTGATTGATTACCCGTTCAACACTTAGATTGTTTTCAGTCTTCTGAGCTTCAAGGAACATCCTTATAGGTCCTTGGCCTCCTGCTACAAATGAGTAAAGGAGGCAGCCTGGACACAATCTCTGGGGCACTGAGCACTCCCATCTTCATTGCTAGTGCTCACTGCCCAGCTATTCTCCAATATGATGATAGGAGTTTCCACTCCCACCAACCATGTGCAAGGGTCCCCACTTCCTTACAGCATCACCAGCATTGGGTGGTTTCAGCCTGGTCATTTTTCCTAATATGGGTTCATGCATATGCCGTAAAAGTGTAAGTACAAGCGTGAGAAGGGGAGGGGAGGGGAGGAGACCAGAGGGGAGGGGAGGGAGGGGGAGGGCAGGGAAGGGAAGGAAAGAGAAGGGAGAAAGGAGCGCTGACTTAGCTGAATCTATAATATTTTCTTTCCTTAAAAAAATAATGTATATATTGTGAAAGTTAACATTTGTTCAGTGTGAATGGTGGGTGCAAAGGAGTTGCTAATGATATTTTTAGTACTGTTTGGTACGTTTACACTACTCAGAATCAACTTATTTCATAATCACTTCCCAATGGAAGGGCTTAATAAAATATTATGCAGCATGTAACAAATGACTGAATATGGTATTATCTCCTGGGTTCCTTTTTTTGTTCTTTTTTGGCACTTCACGCTAAAAAGAAAACCCGGCAAGAGACAAGCTTGTATTTATCCCCAGTGACCTGCAGCTCATAGAGTTTTCCAGTCAAGGTTCACTTGGTCAAATATTGCCAGCTAATTGCCTAAAAATGTTTTACTTTTTACCTGTATGCTATATTATATATTACATAACATTTTCTCCCCCCAAAGATGATATAAGCTAATGAAAAGGCAAAATGCAAATGCAATCTGTATTTGGAAGAATGCCCCAGGTTTTGTGGAGTACCTCTGACTCCTTCTTATTTACACACCAACTGTGTGGACAAGGTAAATTGCCCGGCTGGGACATGGAGGCTTGCTAGCTTTTCCTGTCACTCTATTTGCAGTGGTTGCTTTAAATTCCAAACTAGATCTCTTTTAGAGAAGACTGTGATTCTAAGGCAGCAATGATTAGTGTGATTCATCAGTCCAAAAACAATTTTGAAATGCCATCCATGGGCAAGGCACCATGCCATGCTCTGTGAGGGACATAAAGATGGACAAAAATTGGTCCCCGCGTCTGAGAACTTACAATCGAGCAACCTTTTTCTTTCACAACACTAACTACAAACATTTTATTTTTGTACTCAGAAGCTTACTCTGGCTTTGTTCTATTTTGATCTTTGTAACATTTTAAAGATTGTTCAGTAGTTATTCATTGCTCAGTAAGTCTTACAATGACCTTGGGCCAAAAGCAGTAACATTTTGACCTGTCCTGCGGAACTGAGAGCTTCCCACTCCATAAAGCCAGTGGCGTAAATAACTTCAAATAATCCCCTCCTGGAGTTCTGTGTCAGGCACGGCATGAGAGGGAAAGGGGGTAAAGCAGGGAAAGGAATAAAGTGGGAGTGCCCCAGAATAAGCAAGAGCGGTATCCATGTTTTCAGCATTTTTGTTCCTCATTTCCCTTAAGATATGTATTCCGCCTCTCTATTGGCTGGAAAAAAAACATGGAATAACACAGCGAACCATAACACATTTCCTCTCGGTCTCGTAATGTTTAGTAGGGTCAGCATCTTCTCCATGGGTGTCTCTGGGGTTGAGCATTTAGGGTGTATCACGGCAGCAAGAAACCAAGTGAGGACACACTTCTTGAGTTCATAAAAAGGGAGGGGCCGGTGTGAAGGTGGGCCAGCAGCCTATGTGTGAGTGCCCGTGTGTGTGTGTGCGCGTGCACGCACGTGCATACCCATGGATGTACATGTGTGCCTGCTCATGAACAGCACAGGGAGAAAAAAATGACCTAAAAGAGGAAAGGTCTGCTACGTCTTGAAGCCATTCACACTTCACAGTGTCTGAACTTGCAAATGAAGGGGTTCTGAAGACTGGTTAGTGGTGGTAGCAGTAAGGACTTCTGGAGACTAGAAGTCTGACTCCTCAATACAGGTGCATCTGGCCCGCAGGACATGAAAAGAGCTCTTTGCAAACAACTAACAGCCGAGTAGTGGGAGCGTGAATGACTCAGAAACACCTGGCTGATTTCCCTCGAGGTTTCCAGAGGATGAATTGGTTAAGAAGGAGTCGGTCAGTTGGACACTATCAGGCAGCTTGACAAATGCAGAACGTTGGGGGCAAAAATTAGAGAAATGGTGTCATCCCAAATAGAGTGTCCCAGAAAATAAATCCCCCCTTCTGTGGAGGAGGGTTAGAAGTAAATAGGTTCACCTACATACATACTCCCCATGAGGATAAGGTGTGTCTTTTTTGAGGTTGATAGTATGTAGGAATGATCCAGATTGCTTGTTATAAAGGATTGTTGGCCATTTTTTTCATTCACCATCTTCTACAAGAAGAGAAAGCATAACCTAATCCTAAATTCAATCAGATCAAATGTCAAAGGGCTGAATAAAAAATAAAAAGTTATAATAGGGAAGGGTCATGGGAACACTGATTCTGACCCTGACCCCCAGGGTAGAGCTTCCTACAAGGTAGGAGCTTTGGTTTCTAAGTCTTAAAAATGGGAACAAGAGTATTTCACAGAATTGTTGTGAAGATTGAAATGGTATAAATAGGAATGCCGTGTCCACAGAAGATATTTAACCGGTGTTTATTTTTATTATTTTCCATTTTCATAAAGAGAAAGGAAGAATAGATACTGGGTCACATCCTCAGCATTGTTCTCCAGAATCTTCACAGCCAAATACAGTGCCAGTTGTCACTGCCAAGGCTGGGTTTGGGGCAGCTTGCCTCCAGTGCTCAGTCTTCTCTCTTCCTCTCCTGCAGCCAACTCCTCCCTGAAAAAGCGATTCAAGCGGCGGGAGATCGAGGCCATCCAGTGCGAGGTGCGCAAGATGTGCAACTACACCAAGATCCTGTCCACCAAGAAGAACCTGGACCACGTGAACAAGATCCTGAAGGCCAAGCGGCTGCAGAGACAATCAAAGACAGGCAACAACTTCGTCAAGAAGAGGAGAGGGCGTCCCCGAAAGCAGCCCACCCAGTTCGACGAGGACTCCAGAGACCAAATGCCGGTGCTGGAAAAATGCATCGACCTTCCCAGCAAGAGGGGGCAGAAGCCGAGCCTGAGCCCGCTCGTCTTGGAGCCAGCGGCCACCCAAGACACCATCATGGCCACCATCGAGGCGGTCATCCACATGGCCCGGGAGGCGCCGCCCCTGCCCCCGCCACCGCCGCCACCCCTCCCGCCCCCGCCGCCGCCACCGCCGCCCCCACCCCTGCCCAAGACCCCCCGAGGAGGAGGGAAGAGGAAACACAAACCCCAGCCTCCCGCCCAGCCCCCGCAGCAGCCGCCCCCGCAGCAGCCCCTGCCCCAGGAAGAGGAGGTGAAGGCCAAAAGGCAGAGGAAGTCCCGAGGGAGTGAGAGCGATGGCCTTCCCTAGGGTGGGTCTGGGCGTCTGGACCTGGGGCCGGGGGAACTGACATATTGGGGAGTGCAGGGAGCCGGGCTGGGGCGGAATCCCACGCTGCAGGGACACCGATGCCCCTCTCTCCTGAAGCTGGGCAGGCACAATCGAGCCAGATGACGGGGTGGATCCATCAGTAGCTCTTGGGAAAGCAAAGCAGGGGGACGCCTTCAAAAGAAGCTTGTCTATGCTTTACAGCAGTTCCAAACCACGCGGCACTTCAGTATGGCTCGATCCTTTGCAGGTGAGCAGAAGACCAAGGAGGAGGAGAAAGAGCCGGTAGTGCTCTCTGACAGCCACCTGACCTCCTGCATCCAAGGTGCGTCTCTGATTCCATTGCATTTGCTGGCCAGGAAAATTGAAAGGGAAGCACCCTCAATTAGGAAACATTCCAAGGGGAGAAAAGCTGCAGATTTCTCGACTGGCTTTGTTGTAACCCATTTCCATTTAATTGGTTTTTTACTTTTATTTTGGTTTTTCCAAGCTTGGCTAGGCTTTGGGGCACCAACATCATCTTCAGGTGACCTGAATCTTTCCATTAACCATACAGTTTCTCAGATGGATTCGTCATCAGAAGGTGGAATTCTAGTGACAGGCAACCTTAGACAGGCATTCATATTCTTCTGTATGCCTCCTCTATACCACACACTGATATTTAGCGTAGTCAGTTCCTAGTTTTCCTTTTGCCCATTGTTACTTCCATATACCTTTTCATTAACTTACTTGCTGCCTTCTTTTCCTTGGTACACACCTAAATAATGTAAACTTTATGTGTGTTGTAATGTTCACCCTTGGCATGCTGTCCCAAGGAACTTGGCTTTGAATCCCAATCATTGTGAGACAGATACTCAGTATTGATAGAGCCTTTTTAATAAGTGATTTAGAGCAGCCGAGGATATGTTGGCCGGGGTGTCAACCAGGTTATTTTTATACTTAAAACATATCAGCAGAGAATAGGCAGAATAAAATGGTTTTAATAAACCCACAGCAAATGGAATAACTGACAAATCACCAAAAACTGAAACCCCAGACCCACCAGAAAGACAAACGTCTAGCAATGCCTTGGTATGTGAATTTTCATACAAGTAACTATCATAATAGGTCGTTGAAAAAAGGAAACAAAAAGACAATAGAATAAGTCCATTATCTCTTGATAATTATTTCTTAAAAGCAAATGGGAGTAAGTGTTCTTATTTGAAAAAAAAAAAAAAGAAAAGAAAATGCTCAAAGGGTATCACCACTCCAATTGTATGAAGCCACCTTGGACAAAGTATCCAAATTGTGGTTGCCTTAATAAACTAAAACATTTTTGTACATAATGTAATTATAAATCTATCAGTCTGCATGGATGCAAACTGTGTGTGACAAATCGTCTTTTAAATGGTCAGTTTCAACTGTACATTTCTCATCCAAGTTGTACTCTAGCCATCGGTTTAGCGTGGACAGATATTCCATCTCTATCACCCATTTCCACAGCTCAAGTAAAACATGTTAAGAAGACTCAGAATGAATATGAAGTTACTCCATTGCCGTAGATGTTTTCTAAAAGTCAGATGTGGAAATTTCAAATAAGTATTTTCAATTTCCTCCCTTCCTCCTCCCCTAACCTTCCCCAAGACATCAAACACCTGGCATGGTAGATTATAAAAAGAGAGACACTGAGAGACAGAATTCAGTTTTCTAATGGGAATTAGAATATCTGGTTTACTTCCAAATTAAGTTTCTTTACAGGAAGTTGGGACTGGCTGGAAATTGTATTGTCACTTCAGAACACAACACTGTTTCCTTAGAGAGAGATGGATTTTTGTTGGGAACACAGGAGAATAAGGGATGGGGTATCTATGAAAGTAAATTTAAAAATCCCAAGTTAATATGCTTGCGAACATCACTGCTTTGTCATGGCACCAACAATTGGTTGAAATTACTCACACTATTCTGCACTGTCACCTTGGACTTAACATCATTTGCTCCCCACTACGTCAGTCACATTTAATCCTAGCAATATGTAAGTTTAAAGGGATGCATTCTCCTGTAGTTGAAAGCTTGTATCATAGATACTCCATTTGTGACCTAGGTGGACCTTTGGCATTTCACACAAGTTGAACAGCAAAATCAAACCAGCCACTTTCAATTTGTCATTCCCAAGCCATGTCTGAGTGGTTCTAAAGTCACCGGAGAGGAAGATTTAAATTAGCCCCGCTCACCCCACCATTGCTATGAAAGAGCAACCATTTTCATTCCAATTAAACCATAAAGGGGGTTCTCTCCTGTCAGACTTTGAAAAATCAGTTCCTTCATTCTTTCTTTTGCCCTTCTTACTTCTGCTGTTGTAGTACCATTTCCCCAACCAAGACTGTGAGTAGACTAAATCTTCCTGCAGACAGGAATGAGCTGCCACTCTCTAAGCTTCTTAAAGAAAGACCCAACCCCTAATTGACATTAACATCTCTAGTTGGAGAGAAATTTCAGATAACTTAAGGATGCATTAGAATTTCCAGACCGAGGTAAAGTATTCCTGGAGGGATACAGCAGGCTTGTAACTTATTCGTAAATTCAGTTCTACAGTTGTCATGTGAGTTAAATGCAAATCCTCCACGCTTATGACCCTAAGAATAGATGAGAAAACTGCAGAGGACCCAGGGTGAGACATGCTGAATAGCCCGTGGAAGGTGGAAGCAAGTCCCAGCACCTGCAAGCTTCCTCTCTCCCCTGCCCAGCCTCCCCTTCAATGTCACATGACATTTTCCTTTTCCTTATACCTTCCATTAACTTAACTCATCTCATTGGTACAACCATTTCCTGGTTCTCTAAGTAACCCCTTCCCATTAGCCTCTCCTCTCCTGTCCAGGCTCAACATTGGGCCAGTCTAGTTTCACCTCTCATTCGCTGCAGACCCAGGATGAGAACCCCAGCCATCCTGACCCGGACCGGGGAGTCTCTAGCCAGTCAACACTGCCTTCTGGGGCTGCATTTTTATTTAGAGAAGATGTCATTTGGGATGCACGGGACTCCATAAACACTGCCACAAGTTATTTCATTAGAAATCTCTTGGTGGTGGTGGGTTTTTGTTTTGTTTTGTTTTCTGGAATACTTTCCTTCCACAAGCAGGTGTGAACCCACTTATAGGGAGTCTGATTAGGGGTGAGCAAAGGATGAAACTGAGATGTAAAAGCCTCCTTGTAGGTGATGATGGGTCTCTGATCCACCTTCCTAAGTGGTTGAGGAGCCACTTGCTTTTCAACCCCTCATCTCAAATGAAAGATACAAAAGTCGAACTTCCTCTAATAACATGGCTCTGGCTACAACCCAAGGAAGATAGGTCAAAAGAAAGGAGAGCATGTCACGGGCTGGCTTGTGACTTGGCAGGACCGGAACCCAACAGCCACTGACAGCCCAGAGTAGGTGACTAAGGGCTGACAGAGGATTAGCATGTTAACTTGGCTGCTGTCTGGAGTGGGAGGCCACGTTCCGTGGCAGCCGGAATTTGTGTTCTGCACATTGCTGGCTCTATAAATACAATAAGCAAGTGGTGACAGAATTATAATATAAGGTGATGTACTACATGCAGATCATAAAGGATTTGGTTTTAGTACTTTAGTAGAACAATCCCACTCCTACAGCTTATTACCCAACAATATTCAGATAATGAGTTTTTGGAGAATATTTTTTTCCCCTACCACTAGGAAGATTTACCTGGGAACTGTCTAAAGTCTATACATATATTTCCAAAGCCTTTAAATGCCAACTGTAGCATGGAGAGAGACGGGGTGGCAGAAGCCGAAATGCCTCAAAAGCCATTTAAGTGTTACACTGCGGGATTTTCAGTCCTTCTCATCATGTAAAAGTAGATAAATATAGACATTATTCTCAACACTACCCTATAGTATCACAATGGTCCAAATGCCAGAGCTTACAGATAATGTCATCACAGTGCCTAGAAACTCGAACTGTAATATACCGTAGCATTTTCTTGGTGTTTTTTAAAGTTTCTTTCCACAATACAAGGCTCCCTCTGCTTCTTGTTTCTTGGAGAGTTTGCCCCACTGGTGAGTCTTCCCTCCCGTGGGACTCGGTCATTTGGGGAACAGTCTTAGAAGCACATATCAACCAAGGAAGAAACTTCCTGGATATCGATTGCCCACTTCCCCAGGTATAATAAACACCATGGGGTGGGGGGGGGAAGGATTGAGAAGAGCTGCCACCGGTCAACACAGAAGGGCAGTTCCAATCTAGGTTGGTGTCTTTCTTTTCTTCCTTTTTTAAAAAATCTATTTCTTAAATAATAAATGCACATGATGTGTTAAATATGTATATATATATTTCAAAAGAAAAAAAATGGGGCACAAGATTGTCTTATAAGTCGTGCTGGCTAATTTTTAGTTTGTATTCATAAGTGGTTTTTAAAAGCCTTTTTTAAAGTGTAATTTGCATGTTCTACTTTGATTGTATGTAAACATATTTTAGAACAAAAAATGTATTTGTATTTTATTGAATATAGAGGCAAGAAAATTGTACATTGTTTGAAATGTTCTTTTTGTAACAGTTTTTATTCATAAAGCATTTTTGTACATTTAAAATGAACACGGACTTGCTGTTATTTGAGGCGTAGATACATCTGGCATGCTTTACTGTCATGCTCCTCCATGGTCTTAGATGTTGGGTTTTAAACATTTTTTCTAAAAGAAAGCTCAGTCTTTTTCGCTACCAGATCAGGTTAGCACAGTATAGAGCACTTAACTATTAAAAAAAAAAAAGTTAATCCTATTCATATGTTATTCATTGTGTGAAATTAAAGACATTCAATTCAGTCTAACATGAGTTGTGAATTCTTTTGTTTTATTTTACATCTGGTTCACATCACTAAGGAGTTTAAGAGTATTTGGGGGGTCTTTGCTCACACAAACTGGATATAGAATCATTGAGAAAATTCTAACCAAACTTCTGCCTCTTGTACGAATCTGGGAAGTACATTTGGGGCAAGATTTGAGTCTGATTTACTGGGTTACTGTTCAGAATATATTACACCTGGACGTAAAGCCAATGGCTGATTCAAAGAACCAGTCAGACCTCTGCTGAAAGCAATCAAAGTTTGTTGTATAATGTTGGAGACCTATCCTGTCCTAAATTTTTAGAACATTATGGATGGGGATTAAGCTTTCTTACCAAATATCCCGTGATGTCAGATATCTGAAGGATAGATCCCTGGCTGGATTTAAAGTTCGGAGTCATATGAAAGGCTAGTTAATCAACCACAGACAGTTATAGATCACCTAGCCAAAGTCTACCAGTCCGAACAAGACCCTTGAGGACAAGGGCCAGGAGTAAGAAGTCCTTGTTCTGAAGGAACTTACAAGGCCTGAGTGTGAAAAACCAACTCGCAGTTCTAAGTGAAATGTAGCATGTGGTAAGAGTGATGGGGTCTCAGAAGAAGCGGGGAGCCCCCAGGCTGGTACTTTCTTCTCTTCCCACTCTGTTCCAATTTTGCGTTTAGAGTTGAAGTTGTTTTTTTAAAGCCCTATTGAAGTAGTACTTGTACATTCTACTGGGAGAGTATGTAAACATACATACGTTTATGTATTTTTCATTTTCCTTCTTTATCTAACCTGATGTACCACTTTCAAAAGCCAACAAGGTACGTAGGAAATGTCGTGAGCAGCTTTCATCCCCTACTATCAATCGGACCTGCTGTGACATTTATTAGGACTCTGGGTATTTGTAGCACCCACAGTGGAATAACGGAAGTCTGGTGGAATGGATGGAAGTCGTCAGAGTTAGGCTATCAGGGCAGACTCAGGATGGTCAGGCACTGACCATCTGCGCTTTAGGTAGCCTCCTGGGACTCAGAGAATTTAGTCAGCAACTTCTAACTAGAATTGCCCTCCTCCTTTCGCTCTCTGCCAACTATCTTGCACTGAACCAGGAAATGTAAAGCCTTATATAGTCCTCTTCCCAACTCGGGTTCATTAGACCAGTGGTATTTCTGAAATCAGCAATGACTTCCCAGACTGCCCCTAATCTCTTCCCACCAGCAGGAACAAAGCTGTTGCCTTGGAATGGATTGGCCCATCTTTGGGGGGTTTTAATCAGTCCACAGAGTGGCAATGTGCTGACAAAGATTCTCGGGGAAGTCGGATGTGTTCACACATGGGGCTGGTATGAATCTCAGGCTACCAATAGGTGGGTAGAAGGAATAGATA